AAAAGCTTTATCTTCTCATCCAAATTCCACGTTAGAGGTTTGGTTACAGATGCACACAAAAAACAATTAGCCTTGCTTTATATAAATTTGGATATCTTAAAAAACAAAAAATCTTAATAGGACTATCATGAATACAGAGAACAGAAGATTCAAGTTATAACATGCTTTCGTATGATTTGAGATATGAAAGCTAAAGTAAGAGGATTATTAAGATGCCTCTGAAGATTGGAGTCAAGTATCTGGACACTTCCATTTCCAAATTAGATAGCACAGAATGTATTCAAGGTGCTGAGTATGATTCAATTATATTCTCTTACACTTTTGAATATACATGAACACAAGTATTTTGTCACAAGTCTAATGCAACTCTGACCAAAGCCAAGCACATCACTGGCTTCCACACCTTATTCTACTAATAGGGATCTCAATTCTTATCTGTAGTACCCAACTACTTTATAACCACACATCTCAAAACCAAGAAATGACACTTATGCCATATCACACAGGGTTTTTTTGCAACATGTATGGCACACATGTTGCCATCACTATTTTATATTTTTAACACACACTTATATAGTGCACAATGTTACACATTTAGAAGTTAATAAAATGTAGGAAACAAATCTTATGATTTTGTACAAGATACATTTTTCTATGAACTTACACATGTGCAACTCTGTAACAAGAACAAACTACATTTCCAACTGAAATTAAACCAAGGTAAAAAAAAATCAATCTGGGCATGTTTGCAATCCAAGTAGTAAAATGCTTATACAAGTTATGAAGATTTAGTTCTTCACAATGCATGAAGATAGGAAAGAGGAGGTAAGACCTTTAAATTAAGGATTTGGTATGAAGTTTTAACAATATTTAAAAAGTTCACCTCACTAATTCAGAAGGCGTTTATAAGGGCATGATCTACCTATTGTAGAAAATCAACTCCTAAAAATACAAACATTGTCAAGTGAAGAGAATGTAAATTTCAAATCAAGACGAAACTGAAGACTAATTTAACTACAACAAAAAATAATTCTCTGTCAGTTGATTAACTTTATTACTGTATGAATATATAAAACAGCATCATTCATAAACTGACAAATACTGACTAACCTCCTATCCTGCAGCCTCATCTGCACAGGTGGGCCCCTACACAGAGCCCCTGCAGAAAGAACAAACAACTTAGCACATGAATGCCACTAGATTCATGGCTTGTATACGGCACCTTCATACTGAGCCTGGGGGCATCAATCAGCATGTACTACCCACTCTCCTACTCCACATCCATTAAAGAAAAAACAACACAAACACCACAAATCTGGGAGCTTTGCTGCCCTTGAGTAGCCCTAAACACATGGATAAGTATTTCTGAGGCAGAGAAAGGGGTGCTACTCTAAGAGTGCCTCATTTCTTGGATTTGGCAGGAGTAAGAGCATGAAGCATGCTTTTCATCAGCAGTGCACCAAATCTGCAAGAGACGCAGTGAAGGCAAGCCCTCAATGTATTAAATCAGGAACCAAAAAGATACTCAGAACAATTATCAGTTACCATAGCACTGCTCCTTCTACACAACAGCATCTCTGGAAGTTAAAAATAAGAATAGTCTATTGCTGAAGACGTAAATACATCACAAGACAAAATCATTACCACTACAAAGACAAGGTAAAATAAATAATTTCGTAGAAATGCACCTTGCTACTTATCCCATATTTTAGTAATCCATGTAATTAAACCTAAGTATTCAGCCACCTGTAAACCGATTCCTGCAACATTTTATCCTAATTAAGAAAAATTACTCAATTTGTATTATCTTTATTACATTTGGCAAAATAAAATGCAACATGAGCTCTCATCACAAGAAGTACTGCTAAAGAAAGCTGCATGTCTACATTGACTTTGCTTTCATGTCCACCAGAAATTAATAGCAAAAAAAATAAATAAATAAAACTGTACTGTTAGTTTCCAAGAGCAAGTTAAAGTAGTTTCCCATACCACCCCTTGCCACAAAAGTTCCCTGACCATGTGTTTGAATTTACCATACGAGTTTCCCCTTCTTCCGCCCCTGCTCTTAACTGTTCTATGAAACGTCCTTGTGTAAGAAAGGAAATTTTGACTATAAAAAAGTTACACAAAACACTGAAGAAACTATCAGATCCAAATTACAAGATGTGCATTCCCAATTTCATTCCCAATTTTTAGTTACTTATAGCAGTTGCAAAAATATTCCATGGGGGTGAGAGATGAATATTATCTCTAAGGATGCCATCAATTCTCATGTTCTGCTGTTCTTATAAAAACTCACTATGGAATAAGCTAACATGATATTTTGTTTGACTGTATACTTACACAAAAGTTCCAGTAAAAAAGGTAAACACCTTTCCTGTTTCTTTCTAAAGCCAATCACGCACGTAAATTGTTTCTTCCTTATGGTTTTTACTAGCTTGCAAGATCACCTGGTCAACTAGAAGATGTTTACATACATCTGTAGCATTACATTTTTAATCCTTTGATCAACTACAAAATGTCAAAGGACGTTTTAAGCATAAATGGTCAAAAAAGTCCATTGCTATGCGGGGGGGAGGGGAGGGATGGGAAACAATCTGAGAACTTAAATGCTGTAGATGGAGACATACCATTTGTTTAACGCAACAAATTCGAGCACTTCTGTAAATCCATATATTAGTTGATGGCACCCAGTACCTTCCAACATAAGCCCTGCATTGAATCTAGACTCATCGTCCAAAAATATGTTGACATTAACTTAAGAATTACTATGCTGAATAATGTGGTAGGAGGAATAAAAGTAAAAGAAATGGGCAAATCAGAGCGCTGCACATGGCCCCTGCCACTTGGGGATTTTTGGGAGTTCCTGGAACAGAAAGGAATGGGGGGGGGGGTGCTATAGGCCAAATAGAAGAATGCAAGGAGTCCCTGACTTGTACAATAAGTTTGGCTCACAGACCATACAGTGAATTTTTGACTCGTGGTTATTTGCATTTATAAAAATGCTGAAAAGGAAGCTTCCTAGATGCTTTAAGCAACTTTGTCATCACTTCAAAAAATGTGATCTGGGCACAATTTAATATAATCAGTGACAAATCTTGCTCTAACAAATCCCCTTGCTTCAGCCAAGAAACTAAAAGGCTGTTGGTACCACATTTAAGTTCTCTCAGGACTCACTTCTGTCACACCTAGAAGAAAATAACTTGTTGATTATGGGAAGGGTTGTATGCAGCTTGAATTCAGTTAATACTTCAACTGTGGGGGTGGGGAAGACGGGATATCTAGCTGTGACCATCCACTTGGCCCCCCTCTTAAGATATGTTTTTTTGTTAGCCAGTTTTGTGGGTTTAAAAAAGAGAAAAGTAGTCAGCTCTTCAGGGAATCTGCCTAACAGACAGCACACAGTGGTGGGAGTCTGTTGGCAACAAGTGAAAAATACCATGAGTATGCCATGTAAAACAGTACTGACAATTAAAAAGTAAGAAAAAAGCTAAATGAAGAGAAAACCACCATTTTTGTGGGGAAAAAAGGCTTTTTTTTAGCACACCATTTATGACTGAAGATATTTTTCCATGCAAGAAAAACATCACATTATCAGAAAGAAGCTGTAGGCAATATTAGCTGTTGCTGCTGCTATTTGTAAACAGAGGATTATTCCTAGATTTAAGAAATAGATTAGACAAGCACTGATATGGGATTGTTTGGATAGGAGTGATCCTGTCTTGTACAGGGCACTGGACTAGATGACCTCCTGAAGGCCTTTCCAGCCTTACTTTTTTTTTTTTTTTTTAAATGAGTCTATAATACTTGGGGCACAAGTCACAAAACTAGCATCCAAGTTTCAAAGAATATAAAGGTATTATATTATACAACCATATAATGAGTATACAACTCATATACGTAGTTCCAAACACTTCATGGGTGTTCTTAGATAGAGATTGCTACTTAGCATGAATAAAGTTTGCAGGCAAGACTGACATTATAATTACCCCACAGACTTAAATCTATCCAAAGATTAAGCATTAGGCATCAATTAAGCATCAATATTAAATCTGTACTGTCAGATGATTTCCAGTCTACTTTGCCATGTTATACAGATCATGCAGTAGTTTTATTTATGACAGGAAGATAGCATAACTGGAAAAGTTTAGAACAATTGTATTAAAGTTTATAAATAGTACTCCAATATGTCCAGAACACCTGAAAGTAATTTAGGTTTATTTGGAAAAAAAAAAGTTTGCTACATATCAGTGTAAGATCATAATCAGCATACTTGGAAAAAAGGAGCAAACAGGCATGTTGGGAAGAATGCAAGGTCATGGAGAAAGCTGTGCACTGTTTATTGTAAGGTTGCAGCTAAAACAGATCAGGCTTTCAAATAGTTAGATCTTTGACTTTTTTTTTTTTTTTATACAAAAATAGTTGCAACAAACCAAGTACAAAACTGCTGCTATTTGACAGCAAGTCAATTATTTGGTTTCCCAGTCTTAAATGTATTCCTTTTAACTGGAACTGAAAAAAAAACCCAACACTGGAAGTTAAGTAAACAATGCTCAGAATTCTGGACCACACATCACCCTGCCCGTTTATCACGCTGTAGTTATTTATTACCCACTTTATTTTCCCGATTTTCAGTATGCTGCCTCCTCCACAGCTGCCAAAAAGCTCTCACACTCCAAGGAGGCAAAACACGATCCCAGTCCAAAATGGATCAGATTAGTTGTACAGTATAATCAGACTTTCATTACCATGGCAATGCAGTATGAATTAACATAGAAGCAGTCTTCACCTTTCCAAGTTTCTGTCAGGTGTAATTTATTTATGTTTTTGCTACTTATCTCCTAGATCTTAAATAAGAGACATCAGAAGTGTACCTTCCTTTCAACAGCTTGCCTACATGCAATCTTTGGAACATTTTTCAAGTGAATACATTCAAAAGGATGAAAAAGTAGAACAATTTAAGGTTATTGCAAGACACTGGGCATTGAAAACATCCATACCTGTGGAAGTGCAGTATTTAGCTGCCTCTGCAAGGAATCTCTTTCATGACCAACTTCATGTAGCTTGCCCTGTGTCAAAGCTAGTGTCTCTTGAGTTTCTCTTAGTGTTTCCAGGAGACGATCCCTCTCTTCCAGCATAGACACCATTAACTGCTCAAAATGGGAATCAGCATCTGACTGTAACGGGGAGCCTGAACCATGGCCTCCATTTCCCCCAGAGGGAATCTCTGCCTCACTGATGGTTGGCATCACCTCACACATCATCTTGAAATTAAGAAATTAAATTCAGGCCATTAATTATTATTATTAAAGTACAGAATACAAATCCAAAAACAAAAATGTCCATAAGCCTAGGGAGATACAATGATGGTTTTCCCCAAGAGTGAGGCCTGTCCCTTGCATTCTGGGCAGGCTTACCCCTGAGAGTTTTCCCAAATGTGAGACACTTGACTACACAACTGCGTAGAAAAGGGGGACTTGCTTTCTTGCTTTCCCTGGCTTGCTCCTTGATCTTTTGGTTAGGAGCAAGCAAGACTAGGGGGCATCTGAACCGCAGGCATGTAGGATGCCTGCCAGAGTTTCGGGGAGTATCCGAAGCCCCAGACTGATGCATCTGGGAAGGAAGATACTTCCCCAGTGGTAGAACCACATGGACTTGAATGATTGAGCTCTGCTCAGTTGAAACTTGACTTTTGGGATTCGCCCAAGTGAACTTGGAACTGATTTGGCCCTTGAAACAAAATACATAAAATGAAAAAAACCCAAAACCTATCGAAGACTTATCTACACAACATACATGTTTATCTGTAATACACCATCTGTTTAATTCCACCTGTGACAGCAATACTAGAAGCTAACCTAACCTAGATAAGACACCATGTTGTATGTGAACAGAGAAGCAAAGCCTAAGAAAAACCTGAAACAAATTCCCCTGTGCCAACTGCAGGAAAAACAACTGGGTTGTACATTGGACAACATTAAAAGACAGTTTTTTTAAAGTGGGAGAAAATTCTCATTCATTCAGAATGAAATTGGTCACTCCGAATATGGGATTAACTGTAATTAAGGGCATGTATACAGCGTGGGGGGTTTTCCCCATCTACAAACAGGATATCTCGACTTGCTACAGCTTAACCCTATGCACAGGGCAAAACATCTATAGTTTACTGGATTTAAGGCTATATAAACCAGTGTCTTAGGTTTGAAAAATATTACTATCAGTTTTGTTATAGTATCACTTCCTACCAACTTAACTTTGTTGAAAAGCTACACATCTACCACACTATTTCTGATGTCAATTTATAAAGGATGCATGTGCTTTTTTAAAGTTGTTTGGACCTTTAAACAGTATTAAGCACGCCTCAACCTGAAAAAACACAAACCACACATATTGAAGTCTATCATACTTCTTTCAAACTCTTGATACTGCACTCCGCCATCGTGGGAAGAGGCACTACTTTCAGCTGCCTCCGAAGCCACAAAAATCTTTATTGGACCATTTTGCTGCATGAAAATTAGCAACAGCAGATTTCTGCACCCAGATGTAGCCACAGGGAAAGCCAAGAGGTCAACCAGGAGAAAGTGAAAATGAAAAGAATGGCCGTTCAAGGTCTTAAATACTAAACAAACAGGACTTGACTGCTAGCCAGCACGCTACATCAGCAGCTGTCAGATATAAAAAGAGGGTCTGAGAGACAGGCAAAGAGTATGATGAAAATATAAACTTAGAAGTATCGTTGTTTTATACCCCACCATGTTTAGTAACAGCAAAAGCATCATAAGGCCTCATGCTGGAGAGATCCTACGTTTTACAGCCTAATTTGAATCCTGGGCCACCCGGACTTTAGAACCAAGGGAAGTTTCTGTCCACCCTCCATTTGAAAAGCAACAAAATACGTAAACGACAGTACCAGAGTGCCAATTGGCATCCACTTTTCTCATGGAAACTGAGCAAACGATGGTTCATGAAGCCACATGTACAACTTCTAAACTATCCCTAACGAAAGTCTGGTGCCTACTTTCTAATATTGGAGTTCCTAAGGCAGTCGTTAAACTTATTTGCGACAAGCGGAGCCCGCACTTCTGAATTAATGAGAAGCTCGCGGGGAAGGCCTGCCCCGAGCACGAGCGCTGTTTTTTATACGGGGGCTTTTAAGCTGATCTGAGGCAGGCGCCGGCCACCCACTGCTTGCTGCTTTACCTTGGTCGATGAAACAAAGCGGCCTCACCACGGGCCCAGGGTTTCGGCAGCACCGGGTCTTCCCCACAGCTTTCTCCTCTCCTAGCCCCACTGTGGGAGCCGCCAGCCAGGCGGAGTTGCCATCCAGCGCCCTGCAATGTCCGTCCCCAGCGCCCCGAGCCGGAGCAAGAGGCAGCGGAGCGCAGAGCGGGGCCCCCAAGTCCCCCAGGCACCAGCCCGGCCTCAGCTCCGCTCCTCCTCGCTGCCAGTCCTCAGTGCCGCCGGGACCATAGGCGGGGAAACGTGTCCGCTGCCGCCTCACCGCCGCCCTCGCCCGCGGCTCCGGGAGGGGGATGCAGCCGCCGCTCCTGGGCGCTGGGGTCGCAGCCGCGGGATCCTGCCCTTCCTACCGCGTCGCTCACTCATTTATCCCCCGGCCGCGGGGATGGTGGCGCCCGCGCCTTGTCCTCGCGGGCCCGGCTGCTGCTGCTGCTGCTGCTGCCGCTGCTGCTGCTGCTGCTGCCGCCGCCGCCGCCGCCCCTGGGGCGCTCCGCGG